CCACAGCATCGCGGCTGTCCCAGCGCTCCCGCTGAGGAGGCCCCTCCTCCCGTGCCGGCTCGCAGAGGGCACAGGGCTCAGCTCTCCTCGCCCCGGGGTCCCCGCCGACCCGCCCTCCGCTCCGTCCGGCCGCTCGCTGTCCTCGCCCCCGGGAGCCCAGCCGGCCTGGGCCGCCCGGGGGCCCACCTCCGCCCTGCCCGTGTCTGCCGCTCCTCCTGGGAGTCCTCTGGCCGCGTCACTGGCGTTTCCCTCCGCGCGACTCCACCCGTGCTCCGATCTCCGGTCCGCGATGTTCCCCTCAAGGCTTCTCTCCTGGCCTGTTGCTCAGGACGAGGCTCCGTCCCTTGCACCCCGCATCCCGCCCTGCACGCCCCCATCCCTCAGAGCCGTGACAGACACCCGTCGCAGCATCAGGACGGACCCCGTGTGCCCTCCAGGGGCCGTGGACCTCTCCCATCGGTACCGGTGGCCCCCGCTGGTCGTGGACCGGCAGTAGCGTTTTCTCTGCGATTACTCCGTTCTCTGTGCATCCGTCACGCGCCCGCCCGGTCAGCCCTGATGGTGCCCTGGGCTCTCCCTGGGCGGGTCGCCTGGAGCAGCCCGTCTGCAGCCTCCTCACCTGATCCCGCCTGGACAGGTGGACGCTTGGCAGCCCCTGTTTTCCGACATCTTTTTAAAAACTCGTGGTTTGGTTTCCTGAGAACAGTGCACCTGAAAACATGTCTCTTTCATCCTCAGCATGAATAAGGGGCCGATGTTCACTTCTTGGTTGGAAGACATTGCCTACAGGGCCCCAGGGGCCACCCTGCCCCGTCCCTGAACCCACCCCCGTCCCGTGCCCTGAAACCCCGTGCCGTGGGCCGCCAGTCCCACCTCGGTGCTCAGTGGGGCCCTTTCTATCTGGAAACATCTGTTCTTATGCTCTGATCCGTTTTCTTCATTTATTTGAAGACCATTCTTCCCTTCACTCTTTCTGGAAATCCTATTATACTGACCTCTTGAGGCCATCTTCTGATTTTATCTTCCTCTTTCATATCTTTATCTTTTTGCTCTACTTTCTGAGAAATTACCTCAATTTTGTCTTCAAAATCTTCTCTTGAATTCTTCTGAATTTTTTCCAATTACTACATCTTTTGTTTTCAAATTACCCTTTTTGTTATATAGTATCTTATTTTTGTCTCCTCGGCAGCTTACGCAGTGAAGACCCCGCCCGCGCGGCGCCTGTGAACTGTCTCTGGGGGTGGTGTTCTGTTTTCACTCCTTGTCCCTGTTTGTCCTGTTTCCTCCCAGTTGCAGTGTTCCAGTTTGTCTGTTGTGATCTCTGTCTTCATTTCTGTGATTTTCCTCACATGTGTCTGGTGAGCCTTAGTGTTTGGCTCATATTTGAAAGTGGGGGGCCTAAAAGCTGGTTGGGTTTTCTAGGACCTAGAGCTCGGGGGCTCTTGGTCACTGTGGGGGCTCAGAAGGGCTGTTTGCTTGGAGAATGGAGCCCAGAGGGCGTCGCTAGCCTCCCCCCAGAAGGGTCCAGCCTGACCCCCACCCCGCTCCTAGGAAGAGGCTACCCTGATGTCTGCGGCCCCCGGAAGGGGCCAGCCTGACCCCAGCCTCCCCCCAAAAAGGGGCCAGCCTGACCCCAGCCCCCGGGGGCTGAGGGCGCCCAGCACTCAGGTACAGCCCACCTACCTGCTCTCCGCATGGGGGCCCCGCCTCGGGGGTGCAGGGCCGTCCCTCCTGCCAGCGTCACAGGGACGCTGAGGCTGCTGCCCGGTAATGCGGGCCCCGGGGGGGCCTGGGCCCCAGCCTGCTTCTGGGGGAACTGAGCCCCTCTGCCCTGAACACCCGGGGCTGCCCGGCTCCACCTGCCCACCGCCCGCTCGCAAGCCTGTTTTGGGGGCTCCTCCCCTGTCCTTCACGCTTGTCCATCTGCTCGTCATGGCCCAGAACGCGGGTCCTTGCTTCTCTCCCACAGTCCGGCCCTTGTAGGCTGACCCGTGTCTGCAGGTGGGTTGGGAAGCAGGAGAAGAGGGTGCAGCCAGCCTCATGTGCAGAGCCGCTGCTTCTCCCAGGCTGCCCGGGTCCTCTGCCAGGGCCTCCTGGCCCCGCCCTGCTCCAGCAGCGCTTCCTGAAGGGACCCCTGTAGGTTCTGGGGGTCCCTGCTCGCTTCACGCCCCTTGCTCCTCAGAGGGGCTCCTGGGAGGGGAGGTGTGGACGGCCCTTCGTCTCACCGTACGCGCTCAGTTCTGTTCTCAATGCTGTCTCGGGCTCTCAGAACTCCTTAGGAGTCAGCAGTTGACCTCACCGTTGAAGCCACGGGATCCCACGCGGTGAGCCCATCTCGGCGAGCGGGCTGTGCTCATGCAGCCGGCGGGACCCTCGCCCCCGCAGCCGCGCAGAGTCACCTGCCACCTGTTGGCAGGCCCACCCGTGCCTCTCTCGTGTGCTGTTGCAGCCCACGGCTTCCTGGCCTTTGGCCGCAGCTGCTGCCTGCTGCCCGCTGCAGATCAGAAAGTGGCTTCTGTGGCTCCGTTCTGCTCTGAGCCCTTCGCTTGCTGACATCGCAGAGGTGGCCGTGGCCGCAGACGCCCCTGCAGGCCAGCCAGCAGCGTGGTGCAAACAAGGCCCCCGTGTGGGCAGCTCACCCTGCAGGCGCCCGAAGTGTCCATTTGGTTCTGCCAGGCGGGCCCTTCCCCAGCTGCTCCCACTTCAGCTGCTGTGACAAGTACCGGTGCTGGCCCAGGACTACAGCGCAGCCCAGCCAGCCCGGGACGTTGGGGAAGGTCGCCCTGAGCCCACTGTCGGCCTGCCGGTGTGCACGGGACCGGATACCCACTGTCGACCCGCTGGTGTGGACGGAACCAGATGCCCTCCCGGGGCTGAGGGTGAGCATGTGTCCCTGACTCATCCTCAGGACCCGGCGGACGACTAGTCTGCAGGCCAGACCCCAGCGAGAACTCCTTTTCTCCAAGGATGTTTCTACTGTTCTAAAGGGTAGTTAAAAAAAAAAATTAAAAAAAGATGGTATTGGGAAAGAGAAGAAGGAAGAAGAACATGTAACAGAGCCTGAGGTGATGGCAACGCCTGAGACAGTCTGTTTCTAGCTCTGTAGAAACAGTCCTCCAGCCCCTGGTCCAGGCATGCGGAGGGCGGTGTCGTGTGTGTCCGTGTTCTGCGTGAGCGTGGCCCGTCGCAGGTTACATGCGGGTGAGCACATGCTTCTGAACCCCCGGCTCCGTGAAGATGCGTCAGGAAGGCATGTGAGCTTGCTTCTCTTTGCAAGTATGAAATGTGAACAAAAATGAAACTAAAAGATGCTCGTGAGAAGCAACTATCCTTTCGTTGACCAGAAGCGTCACCACAGGGAGGGTCCACTGGAACAGCTGCTCTAGAGTTACATAGGTGATCTTGGGAATCGTGACTTCACCAGATACCCTCCCTTGCTGTGGATGCTGGCCGAGGTTTGGTCTTCATCCCTCTGAGAGCACAGGGCTTCCCATCTCTCGGCATCTTTAGTCTGTATCTAACGCATGTCCAGGTTGAGTGTTCCAAAAGCTTAGCTCTGAGCCTTCCAGGTAAGTCTAGGCAAGGGTAAGAAAATAAACCAAATAAGTAAATAGTCAAACACCCTTTCTTGAGTCAATTAATTAGTATAAGATTCATAGAAAATGCCAGTTGAACACATATTATCATTCAACATAATCTGCTGTAACTCTCTGTGCATTGGGGGACATCTTTCACGTGTGCCTTTTGTCCGTGGGCAGGCCCAGCGTACTCACAAACTGATTATTTCTCCAACGATGAAATATGACCCATGTGCTGTCAGAAAGTGATTTAAAGACAGAACCTCCGGATGATCGATCAGAAATAAAGCTTGTGATGCCAGTTTATATCTCTGATACCCGACCTTTGTCCAGAATACAACTGCGGTCAACATTTGATGTCCATCTTCAACGACACCTGTAAAACACGTGGTGGGGCCAGTGTGATACTCTGCTCGTCCCGTCAACCCCTCCCCGTGACTGGTCGGGGGCACAGGACTGTCCTGTAATAGGACTCTTCACCCGCCGATAGAGCAAGCTAGGTCTGAGGTCAGATACTGGACTCACGTATTTTCCTTCTTTGCCAGAAAGTTTCATTTGTGAAAATAGTTAAAATTGTATAGTATGTTTTTGTTGTTTGAGTATTGGTTTGTGGAAACGCAGAAGTCATCTCTAAGCCAGAATCTTCATTTCTGTAAAAGTAAGAATGTAAAATCGAACTCCAGCGAGAAGCCAATGTTGAAACATATGCACTCGCTTCCTGGACTTGTGACAGTGGGGGCTGTGCCTGGGACCCTGAAGGGTGGGCGACTGTGGGTGTTTACGGGGGAAGGCTGAGTCCAGACAGCTTTGCAGCTGAGCAAGAGGAGGAGGAGAGGCTGGCAGACCCTTTCTCAGCAAGAAGTGACCGAATCATTATATATTTTTTGGAGGTTTAATCACCTGGGATTTGTCACTGGGGCCCATGGCTGCCTAGGTACAGCAAGGGGACTGGTGTGTAATACCGGGATGATGTGAGAGGTTAATTATGACATGAAACTTGTTCCAAATCGGAGCACACTAAAATTACAATAAATACACCTAAAACTCAAAAAAAAACCAAAAAACAAAAAAAGGAGAGACAGAAGAGATTACTTCATAGTAATTGACGTTATCAAGAATAGTCTAAAGAAGCACAAAGTCTTTGAGATCCCTGAAAATTGCCGAATTCCTTATTCTGGCTAATCTGTTCATTTCTGAGGTCTCACTTCTGACTGCATTGTGATTTTCTTTAAAAAGGCAGGGGGAAGCCCTGACTTTTGAAATGGATCTGGGAAGGCCCTAAGACCATGGGTTAGCGTTGGCCTGTGCTCCCGAGTTCATGCACTCCCGTGCTCCGCTGGGCAAAGCCCGGCCATCCGGCAGCCTGGCCAGCTGCTCCCAAGCAATTAGGTGCTGATGACTGAGTCTTTATCTCCTTTCCAGGTGGGAAGGAAAGAATGAAAACGAAGTGGGCAGATGTAAGGAGACTGGCAAAATTCACGTGACTGTGGATCTCAAGTACTACCGGCCCACCGAAGTGGTAAGACTTTTGGCGCACCACCTGCGTCTTCACTGGCCACTTTTGGGAGATCGTCCCTGGGCGCCGTGGCCAGGCTGCCCAGACTCGCACTGGGCAGTCTGCGGCTTTCAGCGTCTTACCCAAACCAGAGCCCTGGGAGGCTAATTTGGGGTGCCATTCTTGGCACAAGATGCACTGCTGTATAAAGGAGAGCAGGGGTAGCTCATACCCGGGGAAGTTTGGTTTCAGAAATGGAGACTTGGATCAAAGGCAGACCCGTTGAGGTTAGGCCTGCTTGATGGCTGAGTCCTAGAACCTGCAGGATGTCTGCCTTCCCAGGGCCCCGTGACCTGCAGGGTCTGGAGGTCACAATGCACATGCACCTGCACACGTTCACACACACACTCACATGTGCTCTCACACACACTCATATATGCACACACACTCATGTGTACTCTCACACACACTCATATATTCACACAGACTCACATGCTCTCACACACACTCATATATGCACACACACTCACATGCTCTCACACACACTCATATGCACACACACGTGTGTGCTCACATACACTCATACATTCACACACACACATGTGTACTCACACACACTCATATGCACACACACTCACATGCTCTCACACACACTCATATATGCACACACATGCACACACTCACATATGCATGCACTCATGTGCCCTCATATACACACAGCCAATGTACTCAGAGTCACATACACATGTACACTCACACTCACATGAACACACGCACACAGCCACATGTATTCATGCTGACACATACACACACACGCTCAGGGCACTCATATACACGTACACACACTCACATACACACACACCTGAGCTGTGTGAGTCTGCACACTTTCTGAGCCTCTCAGCTCAAGTATGGTCCTGGGTGTGAAGCCTTTTCTGGCCAGTGTACTAACCACCACTGAACTTCCAACTTTTTCTCTTGGATCTACATCATACACTATACATACCGTATTATAGCATGTATAATAACTTAATATACTCCTTTCTGTACATGTTTTTCTCCAAACTGTGAACTCTTTGAGGAGGACTCTCTTACTGTCTCAGACGATAACAAACTCGGCATAATGAGTACTGGTTGATGGGTGGATGGGTGGCTAATGCATGGATTTCTAAATGCAAAGGTTCCTGTATGGAGAAATAACCTAGAGGCGTCCAAGCGCCGCATCCCCCTTTCCTTCCTTTGTAAGAACTCCTGACTTGGTGTTGTCACTTAAACTCGGGCCACCTTCACTCTGGTGACGAAGCTCAGTGTTTTAAAGGGATGGACCTAGGGGTGATAGAAAGCAGCCTCTTGAGAGAGAAGTGTTCAAATGTGGTGGTTCCCGAACGAAATGTGTGTTAACTGTGAACATGTTACCCTGGAACCTGCTCAACCTGTGTTTTGAATCAAATTCCTGTCTGCCGTGCCACCTTTCTGAGGTCAGGAAAACCCCGCAAAGGAAGATTGAAAGTGAACGTGTCACCGGTGATCACCCGTCAGATGGTCTTGTTTCAGACAAAGGAGAGGCGTCGTTTCACGCTCCCGTCCGCACGGGCGGGATAGCAAGGAGAGGAAGTGTGCAGGGCTGTCCGGCCAGGCGGGGCGGTCTCTGACACCCGGCGAACAATGGCGCGCTGTGCCGCCGGGGTGGGTGTGCCGGCAGAGGATGTGCAGGCCGGGAGGGGTCCGGGGCAGTCCTGCTGACGCGGCAGGAGCACTGCCCTGGAGCCCACACCCTCCGCCCGCCAGGGCCCAGAGGTGCCGCAGGCTGTCGTATTTCTGGAACCTAAGTGGTCAGCCTTGTGTCCGAGCGTGTGACAAGAGTGGGAGTGGACGGGGCCAGCCCTCCACCTCTGTGACCCCGTCACCCCGGGGCCTTCCTTCCGAAGCCAGGAGGCCATTACCAGCAGCTTGTCTGTCACCCTCACCTGGGGACCCTGGGGGATGGTGGGGATGCGGCATGAGAGAGCAGAGGAGCCTGGGGCTCACGAGTCGGTTTCTGAAGCCCCCATGGGCCATCTTTCCTGCCGAGGTGCCGTGTCGGTCTGTCCTTCTCTTCCCGCGGATGCCGTGGTGGTACCTGCTCTACAAGTCCGTCCTCAGACGGCGTCTGAGCCTGAGGGCACCGCCTGGCTCCATGGGCTCCTCTCGCCCGTCTGTCCCCCCGGCCTCTTTACTGCTGTGGCAGCTTGCCCTCCCCGCCCCGCTCAGGGCTCCGTGGGGCATGTGCAGTGAGGCTCAACTTTTCACCTCATTCCTCAGCACGGCAGCTTTCCCAAACTGCGCGGTCTGACAGGCTGAGGCAGAGCTGCCCGGGGTGCTGTTCCTCCGGGTGAAAGGGGCCCAGGCCCAGAGCCGCCGGCGCGTGCTCGCACTTGGGTCTGGGCCCTGAGCAGCAGCGGGGGGAGTCGCGGGGACGAGGCCTGAGAAGCTCTGGGCGTGGGGGCCATGGAGCCCCTGGGGCCGCGACCTGCCCTCGTCTGCAGTCAGGACCCTCTTCGAGGGCCGCAGGCTCCTCCCCACCCCGCCCCCGGGTTCTGGAAAAGCTCCTTCCCGGCCACTTTTGTCCTGTGTGTTCAGCACCTCACGCGCCCCGGAGCCAACCACAGAACTAGATCATCTGAGCGTCCGGTGCTTCCAGAGCGATTGCCAGGGGAAAATGCCAGACAGAGAACTCAGAGGCAGGCTGTAAGGACATGGCGGGCCCCAGAGCGCCGGTGTCCGAAAGCACGACTAGCGAGAGGCGCAGGTTTGTGTTGTTCTGTGACTGAGATTCAGACCAAGGAGGGCTGTTCACCCAGCAGAGGCCGGCGAGAGCCCCAGGGAGCCCGACAGCCGTTCTGCGTGGAGAGAACTCCCGGCTGAGGACCTTTCCCCTCGTCGGGCTCACCACGGCGGGCTCCTTGGTCCTGCTCCCGCTCTGCGTGCAAGTCCTGAAAGTGTGTGTCTGAGCTCCGGACGCTGGCGTCCACCTAGAGCTGAGCGGAGGCCTGTTCTGGGTCTCTCGGTGGATGCCTCTGGGCTTCCGCTGAATGTTTAGTTGTTTGGCTCGGGTGGAGAACTTGCTTCTGTACACTGGGCTTCACATTTCCCAGCGTTAGTGTGAAGACTGGGCCCCCTCCTCTGCGTGTCTCCCTGGGCGCACGCTCGGTGGAGCCCTGGTGACGGGCGTCCGAGCCGAGCCGGGAGGAAGCAGGGCTGTGCTGGAGGCCAGGCGGCCTGAGCTCAGAGGCTGTCCATCACGGACGGGCGACCTCAAACCTGTTACTCCTCAGGGCCTCCGTCTGCCTGTCTTTAAAAATGGGGTTAACTGTTGAACTTCTTTCAGAGAATTGTTGTAGAAGTAATAATCAGTTCTACAAACTGCTCACTAGAACAGTGACACGCAGTAAAACACCCAGCATTGATGCCATTATTGTTAGTTATTCATTCTTTCAGCAAATATTTGCCAAACCCTGTGTTAGACCCTAAGAACCGAGCACGGACGACACACACACCCTGTCCCCGCGGGGAGTGTAGGTGGGAAGAACAAGTCAGTTACTCAAGTCAACTGCCTTTCGAAAGACAGACTGACATCGCTGGTGAATTGTGCGTATTAACTGCTAACAAGTCAGTGATGTGATAAAATCAAGGCTTCTAGCAAACGTTTTGCTATGTACTTTGATTTCTTTATTCTTGTTTTATCTTGATTTTTATCCTTTCTGACCCTGCTGAAAATTCAATAGCAATTCAGGGATATGGAATTATCAGGTAAATATGAGAAAATTAACATTAATTTATTACTTAATTTAAAATAATAACAAACGTTTTCTTTTTGTCTGAAAAAAAAATTTTTTTTGGAAAATTTTTAACTTGGGAAATTCACAAAGATTGGATTAAGAAGTATTCATCCCAGCGTGGCAGTTGTTAATCACACCAAGTGGTCAATTCACTTAAAAAAAGAAAAGCTAAGATTTTCTTTTTTTCAGTGAAACAAACAAACCAAAAAATGCCTTTTTTTCCCTGCAGAACACTTTAAGAAATGTCACGGGAAACGCATTCACAGACCAAATTTGAAAGCACCTATTTTTCATGAAAAATTATGTTTAAACTCCACTGATGAAGGAGCCGAGTTTTCCTTCCTGCCCTGTTTGTCTCTAACATGGACTTTTCTTGATGTGGTATTTCCAACATCCTCCCCTGTGACTGGCTTTTTCTTTCTTTACCTAGATACATTATGTTTATTCCCATTCTTTATAGATATTAGAAAAAAGCCCTGAGTTAAAATCTAGATCTGGGAAAGCAGTAACTTCAAAGAAGGCAAAGCCGGTTAAAACCACACCTTCCTTCAGCAGAAACATGTGGGCTGTTTCTAATCAAATTACCACACGCTTGTCGAGTTGTCCCCTCTGCAAACTTTTCCTAATATTTTTCTGTAAATGATGTTAAGTTAAATGGCCCATAATTGCTTGTTCTATCTCGTAGCCCTGTTTAGAATAATGCAGGGTAACACTTTCCAGACCTCAGGAATCTGATCTGTCATCAGAGGACTTGTACAAATACCAGTTAGACCTTCGCCCAGCACCACCCCGGTCCGCGGCGGGGGTCTTGAAAAGGCCCCTCTTCCCCGTGGCCGTGCTCCCCACCCCGGCAGGAAGCCAGACCCTCCATTCCCTGTGGCTCCGTCTTCCCCAGCCCCCCTGGAGGCCCCCTATTGCTCAGTCCTGGTCCTCTGACCCCCAGGGCCCTCGTCCCCCACTGCCGCCCTCCTGCCCTTTGTGGGGGAAAAGGAAGCTGGCCAGGCAGACGAGGCGAGCCCCCTCTCTGCCGGGACCAGGAGAGGAGTGGCTGGGCTCCCGGCTCAGCGTCCCTGCAGGCCCCACGTCTGCCCTCTCATCACCGGTGGGTGCAGTGGCGTGGATGCTGTCAGCAGAGCCTCGCTTCGGACAGAGCTTCCTCTTTGTAATTACTCCCTGACCTTCTCACCGCTCGTGTTTATAAGGAGTTTA